CCCCAACAAACAAGTCCCCAATTCTCGTCCGTTCTCGCCGCGGGCAGCGGGCAGCGGGCGGCGGAGGCAGCGCGCCGCGGTCGCCGGGAGCTGGGAGCCCCGGGCGCCCGCTCCTCGGCGCAGCATGTTCCAGCCGGCGCCCAAGCGCTGCTTCACCATCGAGTCGCTGGTGGCCAAGGACAGTCCCCTGCCCGCCTCGCGCTCTGAGGACCCCATCCGTCCCGCGGCGCTCAGCTACGCCAACTCCAGCCCCATAAACCCGTTCCTCAACGGCTTCCACTCGGCCGCCGCCGCCGCCGCCGCCGGCAGGGGCGTCTACTCCAACCCGGACTTGGTGTTCGCCGAGGCGGTCTCGCACCCGCCCAACCCGGCCGTGCCCGTGCACCCGGTGCCGCCGCCGCACGCCCTGGCCGCCCACCCCCTGCCCTCCTCGCACTCGCCACACCCCCTCTTCGCCTCGCAGCAGCGGGACCCGTCCACCTTCTACCCCTGGCTCATCCATCGCTACCGATATCTGGGCCACCGCTTCCAAGGTACGTGCCACGTCGCGGGGCTGCAGCGCTCTGCAGCCCGCACTGCCCTCGGCCTGCTCTGGGTGGGCGCCCGGCAAGGCCTGGATGGAGGTTCCTCCGGTTCGCCCCGCCCGCGTGCCGCGTTTGGAAACTGGGCGGCGAGGAGCCGGGCACGGTCCCTAGTCTCCAAGCTGCGGCCGGTTTGGGGGCTGGCCGCGGCCGCTTGACCCTTTAGAGAAGGGCGCAGACAGAGGAGTTGTCCCCGAATGCTCTCGGGTCGAGGCAGGCTTTCCTAGCGTGCTACGAGTGCCGGCCGCCAAGGAATCCGTGGCCCGCGGGGGTCCCCGGGTTCTCTGTCTTCCCGGCGATGCCCTCGCCGCCCTGGCTCCGAGGGGCGCGGACAGGGCCCGGCCACCAGGTTCGCCTTCGACTGCGTTGACCCTGTTTGCCATGCGCTGCGCGCCCCTGCATCCTAGACCTGCAGCTTCTCGGTCTCTGACCCTCTTCCGGCGGCGAAGAGACCCTCGCGTCCCCAGAGCAAAGTCTGGGAGTTTGTTTTATCCTGCTTACTTTGGAGGCTCAGGCGGAGCGGGAGCCCGCGCGGGTAGGAGCCTCTGAGGCTCAGGACTCTCGCCGTGACCTGCTCAATTCGGACGCCGAGCGGCCACGGCGAAGGCAGGTTCGGTCTGGTTTTTGTTTTTCTTTTAAAAGAAATGAACCGGGTCGGAAGACGGGCTGGAGGAGATCTGTTTGGGTGTTTTCCTTTCTTGTTATTTTTTGGATTTGTGTGTGTGTGTGTGTGTGTGTGTGTGTGTGTGTGCGCGCGCGTGGGGGGGGTGGGGGTGGGAGTGGAAGGAGAGTTAAAACTCCAGAAAAAGGGGCAAGTAATTAGTTTAGCGATCCGAGCGGGGACAAGACCTACCTCCCGAGGCCGCTGATCAATACCCAGCGGCTTGCCCATTCATTAACCCTTGGCGTTCCTGCCAGAGCCTAGAATGGGGTAGATTCCACTCCTCCATAATTAAAAAAAACCAAACCAAACAAAAACAACGTTTTACTCATTCCCAGACCGGATTTGCCTCCATCCCTGCCTGGATTGTAGGTTTGTCTTTCTTTGGGTTTTGGTGAATCGATTTCCCACCCTAAGGAGTGAATCCGAAACTCTCTGGCTTTGCTCGAAAAGTTTAGGGTTCCCTTTCCTCATTCTCTGGCAGCCACGCTCTTGGTCCCCACGCCAGGCCTGGAGTAGCCAGGATCTTCTGGGGCCGCGGACAGTCCCATCGGGTGACCGCAGCTCCGTACTCCCCGGGTTTCGATGCCTTCGCTCGAGTCTCCTAGTTCTCTGGAGCAGGGCAGCGGGAGAACGGGGCCTCGGGAGGCAGCGGCGGCAGAAACCCTGCGCACCCGCCGGCGAGATTTCGGTCTAGGCCGGGCTGCAACGACACGCCTGGCCTCTGCACTTTTCCGGAGGAGACAGACTTAAGTGCTTTAAAAATAAGTCCCCGAGAAAACTCTAGGATAGCGGTTCGTCGCCTCTTCGCTCCTCACCCCGGGGCAAAGTTCTCCCAGAGGTTAGAAAGAAGAGACAGACGTTTCTCTGGGTCCAGGGCGCCAATCCCCGGGCCCTGCCTTGCCGCCCCTTCCTCTGTCCCGGGCGCCGGTTGCGGAAGTGGCGAGGCTCGTGGGGCCCGGGCGGCTGCAAAGCCCGCAGAGGTCAGGAGCCTTGGGACTCGACCCGCCGGGACAGCTGCTGCTGGGTGCTGCACAGGTATGGTCCCGGCGGAGCGGGCCAGGCAGCTGGAGCGGTGTTCCCTTCGCGCGTGTGGAGGGCCCTGGGACCCCGTGGGCCGGGCCGCACGGGCTACGTACGCGGAGGCCCTGAGCGCTGTGCCGGGCCAGCCCGGCTCGGGAGAAGCGCGCGGACCTGGCCAGGACAGCCCCCTTTAACGGGACTTCTGTTGTGTCCCCCGCAGGGAACGACACAAGTCCGGAGAGCTTCCTTTTGCACAACGCGCTGGCCCGAAAGCCGAAGCGGATCCGAACCGCCTTTTCCCCGTCCCAGCTTCTGAGGCTGGAACACGCCTTCGAGAAGAACCACTACGTGGTGGGCGCAGAGAGGAAACAGCTGGCGCACAGCCTCAGCCTCACGGAAACTCAGGTGAGCGGGCCCAGGCGCGGCAACCGCATCCCAAATCTCTGGACACACGCGGGCCGCAAAGTGCGGAGGGCTTTCGGCAAACAGGCCGGGAGCTGGTTCCAAGCCCGGGCTCAGAATGTGTAAGTTTTGAGGTGCTCTTGGCTCCCCTGGGCTCCAGCACGGGACTGTAGGAGATGACCCGCCCGAGGCTCTGGTGGGGCGGGCGGAGACGGGCTGAGTTGCTCCTTCTGTGCGGCTGGGCTGGCCTTGCAGCTCCTGGCTAAGATACCTCTGCACTTTCGGTGAGACTTTCGGTGGGAGTCTGGGGTACGCGGCTGGGACCCAGGAAGGAGAGTGCCGCGGGGTTTTGGGGTGTTTGGGGCTCTAGGCTGGAGAGAGAGCTGAGAGTGGGTTAGGGCGAGCTCTGTACACCGGGGGCTCAAGGCTCACAGCGACGGCTCTAGTTATTCCCCTTGAGGGGATCGGAGAGTCAGACCGCCGAGCCGGCATCCTGGGTGCGTCCCTAAATCCGAGAAACAGAGCCAGAAGGCTGCGGGAGAGGAGCTGCCTCAGGGGGCAGACGCTTCCTGCGCAACAGGGTCCCGAGGCGGCCAGGTTCTGGCCTGCCCCGGGGCGAGGAGGGGGCTTAGGGCTACAGTAGGCGCTACTGTACGCGGAGCCTCAGGGCGGGGTCAAAGTTCCCGGCAAACAGTAACATTTTCGGGCAGATTAAGTTGTAACACTTTTCCTGGGAGGCTGAAAGAGGTCGAGGCTTTTGTTTTAAAATGTCCCCGCAGACAAAACCGAGGAGGGCCTCGCGGGTTGGTGCGGGGCCCGGCACACGGCGCGGCCCGGCTGATTTCTCCTGGATCGCCGAGTCGGCCGTGGTCTTTGTCCGCCTCGCTGCCCACGCTGCCTGGAGTCTTTGTGTGCGTGTCAAGCCCCGAGCGCACCGACGCGCGCCTTGGGCGAGCGCCGGGGAGAAATGAACCGTCCTCCCCCTCAATTAGCAAACTCAAAGCAAATTAAACTCAGCCGAGTTCCAGCTCGGCTTTTTCATGGGGGCACTTTGGGGGACTGGGGGCATCCGGGGAGAGCAAGCCGGGACCTGGGCCTGCCGACTCAAAGGAGAAAGCGGAGCGGACTTCAGGGGCCTGGGGTGCTGCTAGCAGAATGGGACAGCCCTGGTGGCATGGGAGGTGCAGTCATCACCATGTTCCTCACCTGTACCTCACCGGTGAGAAGCTTGGGCAGTGTTACTGTCTGGTCTGGTCACTGTATGGGGCCCCATCGCCAGCTTCCCCAAGGGACTGGTCGGGATAGCATGTGAGCCCCACCTCACTGCTCCCCAGACTTCTAGCAGCGCTCCGAGGAGGCCAGGCTGCCGGCCCCGCCCTGGTGGGAAGTGATGTGATGGGGTGAGAGCTTGGCCCTGGACTGTCCTGGGGCTGGTCAAGAGGAGGACTGAGGGGCTCTTCCCTTCTCTTTCACAGTTTTTCTTTTACTTCCCCTTTATCTCACGGTCTTTCAGAAGCTTTCACTTTTGAGCCTCTTTTCCTAGCTGAAAAGATACAGCTGGGTTGGTCTCCAGGGCTCTGTACCCCATCATCCCCCCCGGTTTCCCCCAGCACCCCCTCCCCCCACATACACACAGCTGCTTCTGCTCTCACCTGCAAGAGTACCGGGCAGAGAGGAGAAAGCTCAGGCCAATCTTGACTGCCTACCCAGGGCCCAGGCCTTGCCGAGGAGGCGCTATATTTAGGCAGCGGCTGCGGGAAACTGGCAGAAAATAGAAAGCACATTCGGCCCTGCAGGAGCTGCAGCCGTGGGAATGAGATGTTCCCTGCACTAGTTAGGTAGAGGGAGTCAGGGATGTGTCTCTTTTAATTTTCCCTTACTTATAATTTTATAGGGGTTTCCCAGTGTTTGCCAGGCTTTTGCACTTAGTGGGATGTGGGTGTCCCGAGCAGGACAAAGTGAGAAGGGGGCACTCTGGGCCTCGGGGCCAGGGGAAATGTGCCCCAGGAGGTCCAGAAGGGGAGGGATCCAGCCTTCTCACCGGCCCCGAGATAGGAGCTCTGTTCCCCGAGGGGAGGCCGTGGGGAGGTCGGCTAATAGGACACGCAGGTGGGGTGCTGGACTTTCGTAGTCTCAGTCCCAGGTCCGGGCCAGGCAAAAGAGGAAGAGGTAGGAGGGCGCTGTGCAGGAACTAATGCGCCCCCTCTGCCTCTCCCGCAGGTAAAAGTATGGTTTCAGAACCGAAGGACGAAGTTCAAAAGGCAGAAGCTGGAGGAAGAAGGCTCAGATTCTCAACAAAAGAAAAAAGGGACGCACCATATTAACCGGTGGAGAATCGCCACAAAGCAGGCGAGTCCCGAGGAAATAGATGTGACCTCAGACGATTAAAAACACAAACAGAACCCCACAGAAACGGACAACACGGAGCAAAACAGAGACAGGGAGAGGAGGGGAAGAAGAAAAAACCCTACAAAACAAAAACAAACCACACACACATTCACGGAGAAGGGGAGAGGGAGTCAGAGAGAGGGGCGGCGCGACGCAGACGCTGGGCGGCAAGAGCGCGGGGTCCTGATCCGAGGCCGCGCCGAGATGGCAGAGGACGGAGGCTCCTTGATGAACACGCAACCCTTGTCTGAAGAGGCAGCTTGTGAGAGACAGACAGAGACAGACAGACAGAGAGAGAGAGAGATCCAAAGGTGGCAAAGCTGAAGGCGCTCTGACAAGGGGAGCTGTCAGTCAAAGGCCAAACCAGCGAGACAAGATGATTGGCAGGTATTCCGGTTATCTCGCAGTCCGATTTTTTTAAAAAATGATGATGATAATCATAATGATAAAAGAAAACCCCCAACCAGGCACAGGACTTTTTATTTTGCACTTCGAAGTGTTTTTTTCCCCAATCTTTAAAAATAATCAGTGATAACAGTCGGGATTCCACATCCAGCCCCATCCCACACCTGTTCAAAAACTTGAATTGCATGTAGCAGTTGTTGGGCGAATGGTGTCTTAAGACAGAAAGTGCATTGTAATTTTCTTTTCCTTTTAAAGACAGGTTCTGCGTGCTTTTTATTTTGATTTTTTTGCAAGAAATGTGCAGTCTGTAAACACTTTTTGATACCTTCTGACGTCAAAGTGATTGTGAAAAAAGCTAACTGAAGTAGGCTCAGCGATAGCGATCCTCTTTCAGAGAAATGGGGAGCAGGATGGGGGGCTGCGGGGGGAAGGGGAGGGTGCCCACAAGATCAGTCAGGACTTGTACTGGAAAAAAAACCCTAAATTAATTCTATTTCTTGGACATTCCTTTCCTAACATCCCAAGGCTTAAAACCACGAACTAAACTCCTTTTAGTGGTTGAAGGTATTGGCCGAGTTCAACCATTTGCCGTAAATAAAGGCCATTCCAAACTTTCAATCTATCTATTGCAAAAACTGAAGGACTGTAGTTAGCGGGGATGATAAGTGTGGCCAAGAACACGGCAGCAAGTTTTCAAGCACTGAGTTTCTATTCCAAGATCATAGACTTACTAAAGAGAGTGACAAATGCTTCCTTAATGTCTTCTATACCAGAATGTAAATATTTTTGTGTTCTGTGTTAATTTGTTAGAATTCTAACACACTATATACTTCCAAGAAGTATGTCCATGTCAATATTTTGTCAATAAAGATTTATCAATATGCCCTCAGAGTAGTTGTCTTGGGAAATTGAAGTGAATTCTTGAAAAAAGTATCTCTTTGAGTGTGGTCCTTCCCCAACTAGGCTCAAGAAGCCCAGGTTCCCCACCCACAAAAGGGCCAGACTGATGGATTCTTGGGCGTGTTAAAGAGAGCAGAGGGTGGAAAAGGGAGAGGATTAGGAGAACTTAAGTCCTTCAGAAAAGGGATGGGAGAAAAGTTTTCCATCCAGACCTCTGCCCACTGCACGGCCTAAAGAGGGAGTTTAATTTGAATTTCAGGTTAAAAATGTTTACTACTCTTAACCTCTAGTTATTAAAAAAAAACGGGACATATAGTTATGCATCGAAGAGTATTCCCCCAGGATTGGGGAAAACACGTAGCAGAATCAGGATCCTGGGACTTTTAAAACTGTGTTTCTGACTTCAGACCTCAAAGCACAATTCTTCTCCCTCTCTCTGTCCTTTTCTCTCTCTTTTCCTCCCTCCCTCCCTCCCTCCCTCCCTCCCTCC